TTAAGTTGTACTAAAAATAATATATATCGTTTTTCATTTATATTTATTATTAAAAAAAATGGCACGATTTGGCCCGCGCCCCGACAAGCACGTGGGTTGTGTCGTGGGTTGGGGTGTGCCAAATTTAGGCACGGCACGCCCACCACCGCGGCACGGCCCGTTGCCCATCTTTGTGACACAAGTATTATATTTCGCTATCAAGTCACTAGAAAAATTAAAAGTAGTACTCAAGAATCCAATAAGTATAACTAAACATGAACAAGAAAAGAATCATAATAATAGTCAAACACAAATAATAAGTTGAATACTTCATCAACTATTTAAAGTATCCTCTAATTTTATCTCATTTTCGTTAGGATTATACTATAAGTAAATGATAATACAGACAATTCAATATAAAGAATAAAGAAAAAAGAAAAAGTATATGTAGCACATCAAATAAGTTGTACATACGATTATTGATGGCTAATTAGTTTGGTTTGTAAAGTAATAATCAAGATTACAAAGCTATGTTAATCATGGAGCTGAGACAACGAAAAACTAGTATGTACCGTATGAATAATGCCCCATATGTTTATGACCTGTAAAATTGATGTACATGCATCAGGGACAATATATTGTGAGATTGGTCTCTTTTCATTTACAAAGTTTTTTTTTTTTTTTTTTTTTTAGAACAAATAACCTTTTGGTTTATTTGTTGATTTATGAACTTCATAAATCTAATTAACACTCCGGCGATACTTGTTATCTAGATTATATCTAGTTACAACTAACAAATATTTCCTCCGTTTTTTTTTTTAGTTACAACAATTTGACTTTTACACAATTTATATATTTCACTTTGACTAACTTTGACAGTTTAGAGTTAAGTAAAAATATAGTCATGTTGGATTTTTTTAATATTCGTCTCGATTTATACAATTTTAATATCAAATGTTTATAATTTTACAAATTAGTAATTAAATATATTAATGATTGAAAACATCCATCAACAAGCGTAAAAAGAAAAGTGTTGCAATTATATATATATATATATATATATATATATATATATATATATATATATATATATATATATAAAGAATAAGTAAAATGTTTTGAATATGAATTTCAATAACATGATACTATGAAACATATGATCATTCATAGGGAGCAATAATAGAGAAGCCAAGTATTTGTTAAAAAAAAAAGGTACATGGTATTTGAAAAGGAGAGCATCCAATCCAAATTAAAAGGCAAAACCCCACACAAATGTTCAATCACATCCTCTCCAATATTAATATTATCAATCATTCATTCATTCACTCACAAACATACATCTTAATATCTTATCACATCATTTGCGTGTTTTGTTATCAATAACACCAAATGACATTACTATTTCAACCAAAATTCCATACCTGTTTTTTCTTTCATGGTCTTCATCCCTCAACTAACATACATTTAACTAATTCATCCCGCCAAAATAATTTTAAATCTCTTACTCACTTGTGTACAAATCTTCTCGTAATAAGATACCCTGAATTTAAACACACAATCGCTTTAATTTCAAGTATTAGATTATAATGAAGAGTTAATTATGTCGATGTCTATAAAGAAAGAACACTTGTACAATGGTACGGAGTACCTAATTAATCATCCAAAAAAATGAGGCCCCATTTAAGCTTAATTACATTTGATATTGTACTGAATAATGTTTGGTTGTTGATAGAAATTAGAACACCAACAAATCTGATAATGAACCATGTATTGACTTATTAAGCATAATTGTCTAGTTTTAGAAATTAAAGATCTAACCTGAAGTTGACTAACTAATACATTGTTCATTACCTTCCCTTCAAACAGAATTATTCCCTTGGACAATCTAATGACTGCTTAACTGCAGCATTTATTAAATTTGTTATGTATTTTGTCTGACCAATTTTTATAAAGTCTTATTATGACATTTTTGTTTTTAGCCTTCTTTTATTCTAATATTTTTATATTAAATACTACTACATGTAAATAATTCATCAAGATTAGAAAATATGCTATAAAATATATGTGGTGGTTTGTCATCAGATATTCATATCAGAGTGATAGCATCTCAACAACAATCAACATGGAATCTGACCAAGTATGCATATAATAAGCTCAATAAATAATTAAATATATGTCTACCAGTATATAATACTATAATGAATTTTGATATATATAAATATATATAGTGGAAGATTTATTCAATTAATTTAAGGTCAAAACCCTTAAAATAATCACTCGTATTATTACAAAATTAATGTATGAAGCTAAGGGAAGATAGTATTAGTTGACATGAATCACATTGCAATTACAATTTGACATGAGTCATGAGGTTAGAATTATTATAATAGATGTGAGACCATTTACAAGTACTACACAATTTTGTACTAGCATTATACAGTATGAAATTGACTTGGTTTATGTTTTGTATTTGATTTTAATAATTTCGATTAAGTGTATTTGACGTTTATTAATACTCTGTATTTTTTTTCACAAAATTAATACTCCGTATTAAACAAGTGTACAAGTTAATACGAAGTATGTTGTTATTACTACGTCCTCTGTATAAAACATCTTTAAAATTGTACACCTTTAAACCTTTTATAAATTTTTTTCTTTTACTTTGTTACTACAGCCACTTTGGGTTTATTCAAATCAAATGCATTGGATGCGTTTACTTTACATTAGTAATTTGATTAAGGCAACATATTTTTCAATCCCTTTTCAAGCACAAGGACAAAAAAAGTTCTTTCCTATTTAAATCACATAAGTGTAAGTACTTACTAATTTGTAAAATAAAACACAATTATGGTCATATTGCAAGATTATTATTTTCACAATCTGTGACTATACACATAGCAAGAGTAAGGAATTACGGGTTTTCAAAATTTAGATAAAGATGACAAAAGTCATAATCAATACTATTTCCTCCGTTTCATAATGTTAGTCCCATATACTATTTTGGGTGTTTTAAAAAGTTCTACCTATATTGAATATATTTCATTTATGACTTGATTTTTTTTTGAATTAATTGATTGTGGATTGATGACATGACTCTAAGTAAGGAAATTTTTACCTTAAATTATGCAATTATGACTTGTGCTTTCCTAATAAAAAAATAAAAAAGTTAAATAAGGTAAACTAATTATGAAATCTGTTATACTTTAATGTTAGATTCCAACTATATTTGTTTTCTTATTTTATGTGATTGATTCCATATGGGACTAACATTATGAAACGGAGGGAGTATTTCGTATTATAGTATTACTAAATTTCCGCTATATGTAATTTTATTCCTCTTTATATTGTTATCCAAATACGCGGTTAGCTACTCAATTATGGAATTAAATAAAATATGATTAGACGATTTTATTTTATTTTGAGAGCTACAACTTCTTTAAAAGGTTTGTCATATGTTAAACATCTAAGGGCCTGTATACATTTACTTAAATTCAATTCAGTTCAGTTCAGCTCCAATCAGTTCAGTTCAATTCAGCTCTTAATTTCCCTCTCTCATAAAATATTCATTTCAGCTCAATTCAGTTCAATTCAGCTCTTAATTTCCCTCTCTCATAAAATATTCATTTCAGCTCAATTCAGTTCAGTTCCAATCAGTTCAGTTCAGTTCAGCTCCAATCAGTTCAGTTCAGTTCAGTTCAGTAAATGTGAACAGACCCTAAATCCCCTGCATCAAGTAGGTTAATAGTTATAATCATGATGTTAATAAGATTGGAACTTAGTATCATTTGTGGTCCTAACTCCTAACAGATAGTGACTATAGCATGAGAAAACTACTATGTAAGCTTATTTTTCAAGTAGAATCGTATAAAGTACATAATAATTGAATTCTTAATTAAAGTACTCTTCCTGTCAAAAAATTAAAATAAATTAAAGTACTCTAACTTGCTAATTAAAGACAAATTTTTTTTTGCTAAATAATCATAAACGCCAAATATTGTTTAGATTCTTGTTTGTAAAGCTAAGAGCTGAAAACACAACTACTTGATTTTTCAATTTAATTAGAAAAAATTATCGTAAATGATTAAATAAGACAATTTGCGGTCGCACTCTAAACGTCAAGTCTAAAAGAAGATTACAATAGATAAAGTAAAATACTATTACTACACATAAAGAATGTACATGCTATTATATCTTCAAGTTTGGTAAGTTTGGCCCGCAAACATGCCAAAACAATGAAACATCACATAATTTATAATTAGGTATTATTGATTTGTAACGGTTAGGTTTGAATCCTTTAGATCCTGCCTAAGACGATATTTGTTATTATAATACAGTATATTATATATCAGTATGATCAAATTATTAGATAAGAATTATAATAAGGGGATGGTTTTGCCGCGTAAATATAAACAAAATGTCCAACCACTTTTGGTACGGAGCATTAAAATAATTAAATATACAATCAATCCACACAATAGTATTTTGAAGGTTAAGATGAAATGACAAATGATTTTATGATTCAAAATAATGCAAGTTCAAGAAGACTAAAATAAGTTGCCGGTAGACAGTGAGCTGTGTATTTGTGACATTGATACCGGCATTCGAGTTTTCAATTCCCACACTCCATACTTCCTACATGTACTGGGGGCTTGGTCTAGCCAAGACTTCGTCCACCGGAACAGTAGGGATATGTCACCCTCCTACCGTACACATTACCAAAAAGTCTCACATTGTTTTGTTCCCATACTTGGTTGCTTTTTCCCTACTTGTACCCTTAGTTGTTCTTACCACACACTTTCACATCATGCATGATTCGCCCCTTTAGAAAAAGACTCTTTTCAAAGGAAGAGTAAAGCAAAAGAAAAGAAGGGCAGAAGAGATAGGGGATGGGAAAATCAGATCGGATGAGATATCCGAGGTGTTGGCCCGAGTAGGAGCTAATGTTATACTTATACATCGTTACTATTTAAGACCTGTGTTTGACTCTCCAAAAACTGCACTAAGATATAAGACACAAAGGATAAACAAGATTTAATATATTACTGGATTGATAAAATATTGTTTACACTGTTGCATCCATAAAGATGGAACAAACGAAAGATATCGCGAGTAATTTCAAACCCTTGTAATTAGCAAGGGCGAGGAGTCTGAATAATTCCTAGAATCAGCTACATGAAAGAACTACTCAGATTACAACTTCAAACACCAAAATTGAAGCCTGAGTTGATTCTTCTCCTGTACTGTGCAACTATATACTTTGGATGAGAGTATAAAATGGTCTCGGATTCTTTGGGATATTTCATCATGGAACTTCAAGTTTCCCATTGTTTTTACAGATCTTTAAGCATGTACATGGGTACACTGTCACTCTGTCAGTGTAACGTAGTGAACCACCAAGAACGAGAAGGACAAGAGAGTGGGCCAATGAGGAGCTGAATATAAGAAAGGATCAGGAGGCATCTGATGCTCTACAAGTGAACACATTTCCCCAATCAATTTCAAACACAAAAGAAGAATACAGTAATCATCTTGAAAGAGGTTGTAGTTAATTATGATGAGTTAAATGTTAACACAGTTGAAAAGTGTAAGCTTCCTATATCGAACAATTGCTGAATGCCATATTGGCATGACAGAAATAAGTCCGCCACTAAGATCAGTTACAGAGTAGAATTATTGAGTTCCTTGCTACTACTAGATTCCCTTAATCTAAAATTTGAAAGTTCGTCTGCATCAAAATTACACATTTTAAAATGGATTTCACAATCTATCCCAAGTTAGTAATTTGCATTATTAGCATAGATTCTGGTTCTCAGAAACTTAAATAGCAGTCAAATACAAAACTTAAAATACACGTTTCCAAATACTAAAATCCTTTTCATGATCTATCTTTTTTAATCCATTTTTCATAGCTTTGTCTCTTCAGGCATTCAGCAAAAAGCAACTCATATTCACTATGTTAAAGCAAAAGTTGTATAATTTTTCATCAAAGTGTTAAAGCATAGCATGAAATTTCAGTTTCATTTAGTTTATAATGCCAATGAATGAGCTCTGATATCATCAACAAAACCGGAGAAGTGGTTAAATATTCAAGGATGATCAAAGCATGACTGCAAGTACAAGGACCATACCTTCACTTTCTGCGAGTTGCAAATAATTTTTTACTATCCCGCTTTCTCTTTCTTCTTCTGGCTTCTCTAAGGATTCGTGCAGTGTCTTCCTCCAATCCCACCATAAAATGTCTATCTGCATTTTGTGATAGAAAACAATTAGCTTAGTAACTGGTAATGAAGCATGACTTGATTAGTTTGTGAAATTTACCTGATTCCTTTTCAACTATCAAGCAAGAAAAAGCGCCATCAGTCTCATCGTCTAAGTCAATAATAATTTTCTGTTCCCTATCCTGCAAGCAAGCATCCTCTCAATCAGGAAATGGAGCACACATTTGAAATTTTAAGGTACAAGCTTCAAGCTTCAAATTATCCCCTAGAAATCTAAAATCAATGTTGTTACTCCAGACTAGCTACTCTAAGGTGGCTGGCATATTAGCACAATCACAAAATTCTTTGCCTGCACTTATAGAACAAATTCTTTGAAATGTGGCAATAAAATCCCGCTACATTACTACCATGGAAGATCTTTGTTTCGGATTATTGCAAGAATTCCCATATCGATTTGATTGAGCAGTTTGCTCTGGTTTGACAGCGGTCCACCTTCCCATTTCTATCTTTGGAGCAAGATGTGACGGTTTGAATACTTTAAGGGGCTCAGCTTCCCTAAAATTCAGAGGAGAACAGAAAAAAGACAGAATTAGGACACTAGCTGAGTACTAATGCGAGAAATTACAGCAGATGGTGGGCTTAATATTGTAATCCTGCAAACAGGGGGTGGGAGGTAAGATTTTATCTATGTACCTTGACTACAGTAATACTTCTTCGTAGGAATTAGCAACAAGATCATTTGCAGTTACAGGTGATCATGCACAATTAATTTGCCATTCCGGAGAGATATTATTAAAAAGCTATTCTGGCCTTAAACATAGTGCAATTTACACTTGATTATAAAAAATTAACCCAGAGATCAGTGCTTGATGCTTCATAATGATCTTAAGTAACAAAGGGAAAAGACACTCTCACAGCTGGAGAATCTTATTCATAGTACCTTGTTAAAATCGGCTTCTGTGATGAAGAACTAACACCAGACATCTGCAGCATAGGTTGATTATTAGAGAAATCTCTAAGTATGCTCTTCTCATGCTACAATGTATAGATAAAGAATATGATAAGAAGTTAAGAACCTTTGGTGGAAGAATGGAAAAGGGCGCATTCTTTTGATGTAAGGTCTTAAGGCTGGACATGATTTCCTGTTCAAGAAGTTAGAAAAACACAGTCACTTGAAAGTTGAAATAGACAGCAAAATTTAGATAACATTAGGATATATCAAAATGATAGATTTGAATAATTGTGCCAACATACAAATACATGAAAGGGAAAATTTACATGCCTGCAGGTCTCTAGATAAGCATTTAGACAGTTCATCACTCTGTTTCTGATAATTTAAGTCAATTTTCTCCTGCAGATTTGAAACTGCCATCATAACCTCTTGGTTCTTGTCCTTCTGCATAATAGTAAGCAGTTGATTGCTGATTGATTCCAGGCTAGTTTTCATCTCTTCTTGTGTTCGATTCTGATCATAGCATTTTGACATGTTAACATGAATTTATCTAAAAAGAAATAAAAGTACTGGTAGAGATGAGAGACTCTAATAGACATACCAGCAGATGGAGGGAATCATGATGAGCAATTGATTTTTGGCGTATGCCTTCCACTAAAAAAAGGTTGAATAAATAAATCCATGAAAGAATTTATTAATAGAAAAACGTTAACGCACATAATCAGCCTTACAAATGCTTTATGCTCAAGTCATCTTCGCTCAAATTTTTAGAATTCAGTTGATCAAGTAAAGTTTAAAATGTAATTAACTCACAGCCGGTGGTCTATGACTCATGATGTCCATTAAATCAATTATCAATATATCATCATGTATAGTTATTGGAAACTTTCTAGTTCCACATAGCTCACCTTCAAGGGATAACTCTTTTGTCCCCTTGTTCACTTGCATAATATCAGCCTGAACAGAATCTAAGATCATCCCTAATCTGTTCAGAGATGTATCCATCATAGAGATTTTGTGTTCAAGTTCATCACTTAGCTGACCTGTAAAAGCAAGTATGACAGAATCATCATAGATATTGATGCAGTCAAAGAGCCAAGTATTTAACATGCTCTGAGATACAAATATAAGGTGTGCAAGAATGCTACACCAGAAAATACCAAAGACCTGTTAAGGATGACAATAGATGAAATTAAGCAACATCAAATAGAAAGAGGCAAGAGCTAAGCATACATTTATGTTCTGGTACAGTAGTAGAGTTCCACCTACGTGTCAAACTAGAGGAATTTCTGGAGAGTGGCATCTGGCTTTCTTCCCGAGGGTATGCTGTGGGGGCGAGACAAGAAAGTCTTCTTACAGAATGATCCTTCTCTTGTGAACTGAATCTCTGCAAAGTAGCAACATGAACCAGCTCCGATGTAATAATCATAAAACCAAAGGACTATACATAATATATTCCCGAGTATATGATAAACAAATTCCACGGTAGACTTTGGTGTGCGGCCCAAATTAGCAGATAAGAAGACTGAGATGATGAAAGATCCTAATTTCAATGTATTTTAAGTAAAATGAGGACCATAGTTCAACAAGAAGAATACAAGATGTCAAATCTACCATATTATATGATGCTACAATCACAGCGACATGCAGTTTTTCCATCTTAAAGCATCATTATCTAGTTTTGGGCATTCGTATTTTAGTCCAATAGAGGGAACACATTCTCCTACAAGAGTAAAATATTAGTTTTGACCTATCACAAATACTCAACTCTTTCTCCACTAATCAAACCAAAATTTTACTACAAGTTTTATCAAAAAAAATTCTGCAATACAAAGTTTGACTTTAGCACCTAAAGTAACATACTTTTGGGGACATACAGATTTCATTATAGTTCAGAATCAAATGCTACAACCAATTATAATTTTTGAAGACATCATGGTGTATTCTGTGGCCACATATAAGTCAGTCAAAACAAATTAAGGAATACTATAGTACTCTTAGAAAAAGGAGCCTAATATGTACTTGCTCAACATGTGAATGCCATATGATCTGAAGGGATAGTTGAAAACTTGGCAATCAACTGCTACATTCACTGGATAAGGTTTGACTTACAATGAAACGAATATGTTGCACTGGAGTCATGAAGATCTGGCTTCAACGACAACAACCAGACTGTCCACATGAACCATACATACACCTCCAGTGATTTTCACTTTGTAATTAACAGCACATACACTATTAATGAGACATTGCTACAAGTGCATATATAGCTAGCCAGCAAATGAACCTAGAGTAACATCAAAAGATCAACATATATCCTCCTATCTTTAATAACATCAAAAGATCAAAAATATCTCCTCCTATCTTTCCATCACATCAATATATCGTCTATCAAGTGTCACAAGGAAAAAAGTGATTGGATATCAGACGTGTGAGAAAACAAAAACTAATCAATGTATCCGCAATAACAACAATATTGCTAAAAGCTAAAGATCTAAATCCTAAAACAATTTTTTTTAGGAAAAATGTTCGACAACTAAGAATTGTTCTGTTTGCAACGATCACAGGAGGATAGAGCTACATCTACTCAAACAAACACAATTATTGATTGCTCACTTCTATCATAGCATGAATCGCAAATTACTACAGCAAAATAATGACGACGAAAATCACATCCAAAATTTCCAGAAATTCAGCATTTTCATTCAATTTCTAACTAACATTTGATCCAAAATATGAACATTTGAACCAGAAAATCAAGAGGAGAGAGAATTGAGACCTGATTGTCCGTTAAAACCTCGTCGACAGAGTTCTGAGAGATTTGAGAGAAAATTCCGTTCTGTTGCGACGAAAAACCTTGCGAGAACGATTGTTGCGACGGCTGCGACCTCGGTTGCTGCATCATACTCGATCTCCTTCAAATTATCGCCGGAAAATCGCCATTAAAGCAGAAAAAAGCAATTCAGAACAAATAAAATACAAAAATTGAAAAAAAAAATGAGGAAAAAAAGAGAGAAATTTAGGTTAAAAACCTGGAATGAGGAGGAAGAACAGAGATAGAATTGAGATCACAAGCTTTGTTGATCTTTAGCTTCATCTAATCCGAAGTTGAATCGAAAATGTTTGGAAGAATTTCTGGAATTTGATTTGAAAGAGAGAGAAAGAGAAGATAGACTGAAGAAGTAATTAGCAGCAAATAGAAGGAGAGAGAAATTGGGGAAAGTTGAAGTGTTTATATAGGGATTGTTTTGAGGGCGGGAATTAGCAACGGTTTTGTATTATAACTGAGAATACATTTGGGCCTGAAATTTGGACTACTCGTATATTTTAGGGCTTTTATGTGCAAAAATGTACTCACTGGTCCGAAAATAAGATTAATGTTAATTGACAAGAATAGGTAATATTGGAGTACTCTGGTGTTTTTTAACCGTCCCTGTTTCAAATTATATGTAACATTTTCTATAAAAGAAGAAGGTACACATTATATATAATAAAAGAAAATTTTCTTAATATAAACTAATTTAAACTCAATTAATACATTAAAATAAATTTTATAAAATTATTACTCTAACTAAATTTAAGTTAATGACTTTAATTTAATTCACCACCAAACGAATCAAATTCACTCTTGACATTATAGTTGAGAAGTTGGGAAAACAAGTAGTAAAATTTAGGGTTTTGAACAATTGTTAAAGGTAATATAAATAACGGAAATTTCATGAAATGCCCCTGAGTAATTTTTTTATTCACCAAATACCCATGAAATTTTTCAAATTCACCAAATACCCATCAGTTACTGTACATTAGCATTAAATGCCCATTTACCTAACTGACGTTAACTCCCCGTTAGTGCGTTTTTACCATTATGCCCTTAATTAATGTGTGCGCCATTTTCTTCTTGACTTACTGATGAAGACCAAAAGTCTTCCTACTTCCCCCCTTCACATCATCTCTCTCTCACTGTCTCTCCCTTGTTCTTCATTCGTTCTCCATTGAAATTCTGCACTGAATTCTCGCGTTGAAGGAGTTGCATGGTCTGGTTTTGGGAAAAGTGGGAGCCGAGGATAAATTTGCTGTTTTGACTGGGCAAAAAGGTGGAATCTTGAAGGTGTGATAAACGCATTAGGTTGGTGAAAGCAAATTTCAAAAAATTCAAAGTGTGGGCTTGTGTAACAGCAAGTAAGGTAAGTTCTCTTCTATCGTTTTGTATTTCGAAGTTTAAAGTTGCGATCTTTTGTCAAAATTTTGCACGCAATTTAGGGTTTGAATGGATTTGGGAAAGAGTTGTGTTTATATGAAATGTTTTTGCTTTTATTGATATGATTACTTTGTTAATTGATGTTGGAGTATCGTAATTGATTTTGGTAGATTTAAGTGATCTTGATTTTCTGTTGCTGTTTAGTTTTGTTATGTTTCATTTATTTTCATTTGTGTGGAATGTAATTGGTGATTTAATATGTTATTGTATATAGGATGACTGGAGTATGGTTGTTAGTCCATGGTAAGAAGGATGATAAGTCTCAAGATTTTGATGTTAGGGTTGAAGATACTGATATGTGTCACCTAATGGGGTTATATGAAGACATGTTTGAGTGGTCACTGAAACAGAATGTGTTTCTACCAAAATTCTTTTCTTTGTTTGTCAATAAGCCTAGGACAAATAGGAAGTTAGAGCTTAAGGATGATGTTGATATGTTGAAAATGTGGGAATGGAACCAGGGTAAGGATACTATTGAGATATGGGTTGAGGAAACTAAAGAGCCAGGGATTGTATTCCAGGCTGCTGAAAAGGGGTGGCAGAGAAGATTAAAGGAAGAGGCTGAAAAAGTGCAGAGGGAAATTGAAAAGAATCAGAGGGAGGCTGAAAGAGTGCAAGCTGAGAGGGAGTTAAGGGAGAAGCATCAATATACTGTTGTTGTTGAGGTGCCAGTAGTTAGTGCAGAGGACTTGGGGGTGGAGTATGTGAGAGTGTTTAATACTGTAGAAGCCGATGAGTGTTTCCCATGAAGCTCTCAACCTCAACCCTCACAACCTGAACCTGTACCAACAGGACCCACCCACACTGCATCACCTACTACCAAACAGGCAACTAAAAGACAGAAAATGACACCTAGGAAAAAGAAAACAATACCAAAAAAGAGCACCAAACAACCAGCAGCTGACCCTAGAACAGAACATCAGCAAACACATGCACCCTATCCACCAAGACAGGAAACACCACCACCCTCTCCACCACCACCACCTCCACCACCATCTCCAACAAGATAGGAAACACCACCACCCTCTCCAACACCACCACCACCAACTCCACCACCATCTCCACCAAGACAGGAAACACCACCATCTCCACCAAGACAGGAAACACCACCATCTCCACCAAGACATGCACCAACACCACCACCATCACCATCACCACCACCTCCACCTCCACCAACCAATACACATGCAAGTTCATCTTCTCACACCAAAGAAAAAGCACAGAGTTAGGCCTTCCAACTGGAGAGTGCCAAAGAGCAAGTCTTTTGTACAAGGGAGAGGTAAGGGAGTTGAGAGAGTGAGAAGGGAGAATGATAGCAGAGATGTGCAGGTCAGTGAGTCAGAGAGTGATGATAGTGAGGATGATGATTATGTACTTTCTGATGATGATGAAGATGATGAGCATGTGAGTGACCTAGACTTCATTGAAGATGAGGATGATAATGTTTTAGATGACGTTGAAGAGTTGAGAGAAAAAAAGTTTGAAGATTATTTAGATGGGAGTCACAAGTTGGATAAGTTGTATAAAAATGGGAAAATTTGGGCAGGAGTAGAGTTTGGTTCTATAGTTTTAGAGCCATGGTTGATTTTTGAGAACAAGGCTCAATTTCTAGAAGTATTTAGGGATTTCTGCATTCAAGAAGGGTTTGCAGTGACTGTGGACAGAGCTGATAGCTGGAGATACACAGCAAGGTGTGTGGTTGAGACTTGCAACTGGAGGATACATGCTACTGTTTTGGTTGACAATGTCAATTGGGCCATTAAAACTCTAACTGGGGAGCACAATACATGTGGAAGATTGGAAGACAATCCCATGGTTTCAACTGAATGGTTATGTAGACATCTATTGCAAGATCTTGAGGCAAATCCTGAGATCCCTGTAGAGTCACTACAAAAGATTTGCGTGGAAAGATTTAGGTTGAATGTGAAGAAAAGGTTGTTCTACAAGGTCAAGGCAGTTTCTAGGGTTCAAATGCATGGTGGGTTTGCTGAGAGCTATGCCTTACTGCCTAGATATGCTGAGATAATTAAGGCCACAAACCCAGGCTCTTATGCAATCATAACATGGACAGCAAACACTGGCAACCAAGCACCTCAGTTCAAAGCTTGCTTTTTTTCCTTTGCTGCATCTGTCAAAGGATTTCTTGGTGGGTGTAGGCCCATAATTGGGATGGATTGAGCACATTTGAGTGGTTACTACAAAGGGATTATGTTGACTGCAGTTAGTATTGATGCCAACAATGAAATATTTGTGATTGCATATGGGATAGTTGACACTGAAAGCACTGAGAGCTGGACATATTTCTTCAGAAATCTGAGATGCTTGTTTGCAACTGAAGGTTGTCATAAAGATGACTGGACCTTTATTTCTGACAGAATGAGGGTAAGATTACACTTAATTTATTTCTGTTCATTTTGATCATACATACATTTTCAGCATACAGTTCCTAAATTTGTGTATCTTTGTCTTTGTTGCTTAATTAGGGAGTTGATGCTGCAATACATGATGTGTACCCAAAGGCAACAAGGAGGATTTGTTTCCAACATCTATACTCCAACTGCAAATTAGCAGGGTGGAGTGGTTCAGCTTTTCACAAGCTTTTTTGGATAGCTGCAGATGCATACAATGAGTATCTGTTTGAGAAAGCAATGACAAAAATCAAGGAGCATGCTGCTGCAGCTGAGGAGTACTTAAGGGAAGTACCAAAGCAATGGTCAAGGAAGATGTTTGACACCAAACTCTGTTGTGATCACAACACAACAAACTTTGTCGAGTCTTTCAATTCCAAGACTAAGGATTTCAGAGACTTGCCTGTGCTGACACTACTTGAAGGTACATCTAATATATCCTTTTTTGTTTTTATGCATTTTTGTTGTTATATGTCACTAATTATGTGTTGTATGATGAAGCTGTAAGAAATTGGGTGATGAAGAGAGTGGGAGCAAGATTTGACCAGGCTATAGACATGGAACCTCATCAACTGACAGAGTATGCACAAAACATACTCCAAAGTAGAAGTGATGACTCTAGATTTTGTCATGTAACTGCTTGTGGGGGGGGGGGGGGGGGGGGGGGTGGGAGTTTGAGGTCAGAGATAGGCATGTGAAATTCCCTGTAAATCTGGATTTGATGACTTGTGGGTGTGGCAAATGGCAAGGTTCTGGCATTCCCTGTAAGCATGGCTTAAGGGTGATATACCAGCAAAGATTGGAACCCACCACATTTGTTTCACCATACTTCAAAGGGGCTGCTTACAAAGCAACTTATGCCCAGCACATCCACCCTATGGCTGACCCCACACGGTGGCCAAATTTTGATGTTCCTGCAATAATGCCCCCACCAGTCAAGAGAAGTGCTGGCAGACCAGCAAAACAAAGAAAAAGGGCCCCACATGAAGCAAGGAAAGGCAAAAGGCACAAGAACAACAAATGTGGAATCTGTAAGGAGTTGGGGCACAATGCTTTAACTTGCAAGAACAAGAGCACAACTGAAAGTGGTGCTGCTGGAAAAGGAAAAGGAAAGGGGGGAAAAAGGAAGGCACAAACTGATGGTGGAAGCACCTCTCACCAACCTCCATCAAAGCAAAGGAAAACAAGAAGCACTCAACATGCTTAGTTCACATCTGCCATAAATTTTTGTCAGTCCACCACTGCCATATGATAAAGTAAAGAAATTGAAACCAAGTTCCTATATTTGATGTCAGTAGGTGGTAGAATGTGGTTTTTTTTGGACAAAAACATAATCATATGTAATTAATTATTTTGCACATTGCTGTAAACATTTTATTAAGTCACTTAAATGTTACAAATACAATGATTGCAAACATTACAACCCCTATTTTGATTGCTACCTTAACTAATCTTTGCTGCTGCTGCATCTTTTTCTTGAGCACCTTCATCTCTTGCTTCAGTTTGCTTCATTTGTCACATGCATTGCAGTTGTAGTGTAACCTTTGGGGATTGTTTGTTGTTTCCAAACTTCGAATTGCAAATTTTGTCCCTCAAGAGCATGTTTTATTAGGAACTCTAATATATGAAATACCAAGTATGAGAGGATTCAATATATAAGCCAAAGGAACTAGTTGTTTTTTTTAAAGGCCAACGACTAGTTTTTATTCAAAAACTTCAAGACAAATTTTCGGGCTAAATGGTGAAAAAAGGTTCTTTAAGTTTGGGTATATGGTGAAATTAATTCTTATAGTATGGTTATATGGTGAAAAACAAAAAACTACTAACGGAGAGTTAACGTCAGTTAGGTAAAAGGGCATTCAATGCTATTGTACGGTAACTGATGGGTATTTGGTGAATTTGAAAAATTTCATGGGTATTTGGTGAATAAAAAAATTACTCAGGGGCATTTCATGAAATTTCCGTATAAATAATAATACCTGTAATAATAATCGGAGATGGTGATATCTAAAACGTGAACTAGTGGTAAAAATCAAATTTTCCTATAATAAAAATTATAAATTAGATTTAGTTAAATTTGTCTTAGAATAAGCTTTTTATATGTAATCTTTCACTAATTTTATGAATTCACAATTAAAAATATTTACTCACTTCTTTTTAAATGCATGACTTTTTTAAAGCGGAAATTTTAAGTTAGTTGCATCACTTTCTTAAAACGGAAATTTCAAATTAGTTGATTCATTTTATTGAAACCGAAATTTCAAATTAATTGCATCATTTTTTTTTAAAACGAAACTTCAAGTTAGTTTTATCACTCTTTCTATTTTCTATCACATGAGTCCATTTTAATATTGCTTAGAGGAGTCCACAGTTCGTAGAGAATGCAACTAAAAAAACGGAGGAATTTATACAGCCGGCAAGTCAAATAGAGGTCAAAAGGTTAAATAACGAAATCTCAATGTCTAGAGTCAAGTCGGCAAAACCCCTGAATGTTCAGAGGCAAGGAACCATCGTGGACTTCTTGCCCAAATCTTTCATGGCTGTTCATGGGAGGATCTGGGGCCCACCTTAAAAGGCATGAATTATCCCAAATCTAACTGATGATTTAAATAAAAAAAAAAAAAAGGTACAATACAGTTAATTGCCAGAAGAATGAGGGAAGAAAAACGTTGGATTCAGACTACACGAAGATTTGCATATATTCTACAGATTTGGTAATATTCATTATATTTTAATTTCCATACATTTATTATTTATATTTTAGCATAATTGTTTTACTAATTCAATGATAAGTAACCCCTTTACACCAATTTGATATCTTTCTTATAGTTTTCTGTCATTTTCATTCATATAAAACTACAATATTGAATTTTCTTGAATATGATTGCGTAAATTAAATCATTGAAGAAGTTGCTTTAGTTTGATTAACGCTCAAACCCAATTGAGAAATTTGCTGATTTTTTTGGGGTTTTGATTTTGGAGCAATTTTCTAATCTTTTGGATTGTGGGTTGATTATATCTATTGGGTTATTAAGGAATTTTAATTTGTACTTAAACCCATTTGGAGAGTCTGAAATTTGCATATTTTGCTGGAAATTGTGTCCAATTTGGATACTTGTTTTTTTTTTTTTTTTTTTTTTTTTTTTTTTTTTTTTTTTTTTTTTTTTGATATTTAAGCTAAAATGGCATTAGTTAGGGAAGAAGAGGTTGGTGATGAGGTTAATGAGAAGATGTATGTTGCAGTGAGCAAAGATCAGAAAGCTTGTATGTCGAGTCTAGAATGGGCGGTTCGCAACTCGAAAGGAAAGAGACTATGCTTGGTGCATGTTCATCAGCCAGCAAAGTTTATGTCCATATGTGAGTGCTTAAGTTTATTTGTTGTTGCATTATACATTGTTTGATTCCCAAATATTCCCATATGTACTTTTATAGCCTAATTTTATGTTACTCGAACTTAAGAGTACTTAACATTATGTTTTTGATGCCTGAATGTGGAATGTGCTTTGAGTTTGAAGGAGAGTTTGCAAAAAATAGTCTGTTTTGATATCTAAATGTAGAATATGAGATCGAAATAGAGTTTGAGAAATGAAAGTTTCTGTCTGCTCGTTAGAGTGACTGTGTTCAGGCTTCCATTTTGCAAATGTTTGTTTACATTGTGGAAATTATTGGGATTGTTTGTTTCTTGTTATTCTCCCAATTTTTTGTTTCTTTCATCTGAATCTGATAGTATTCAAGTTGGTTTATTTTGGTACTTCTTTTGGTCTTTCCTGTAGTGAAGAGTCAACATTAATGATGTATCCAAATTCATTATATTCTAGTTAAATTGAGCCGAGTAATTTGTATATCCAAATTCATTATCGAATGTCCATTATGATAATGTCATTCCTATGAGTTTAGTTTGCCTCTGAAGTGCAGCATGCTACTATGTGACTGCAGTTGATCAATAAGATGACGAGGGATCTTGTTTAACTTCTGATATTGTTTCTGCCAGCCTGTAACGAAACTCATAGTTGCCTGGAGCCTCTCATTTGAGATGTCTTTGATTCTGTCTTCCCGTTGAATCTTCTCTGAATTCTAATTTAACTCCTGTTTTGTCCTGTCTTTTTCCTTTTGTTATCAGTTTGCTGTATCTTTGGCTCCTTCGGACTAGTATTGCACCTACTAATCAAATTTCTGAATGACTCTTCATGGTTGTTTATCTAATTGTTTTGGTGCTTGCAGTGGGTGGGAGGTTCCCTATAAGCTCACTGTCAGAACAGGAAGTTATGGCTCATCAAGAACAGGAAAGACAAGATATGTGCAAGATTTTAGACGAATATCTTTGCATTTGTACTAAAGCCAAGGTAATTTCTTTTTCAGCTCCTTTAGTTGACATTGAAACATTAAGGAACTTACCCTTTGCAAATAACATCATAGATTTTCTATTTGAATTCTGCTTTATTGTATTTTTGCTCATGTCATTTTCTCGTGTTGGTAGGTTCAAGTAGAAAAACTGTATATTGAAATGGAAAGTGTAGAAAGTGGACTTGTGGAGCTCATATCCCGGCACAAGATTGAGAGACTTGTCATGGGAGCAGCAGCTAACAAAAGTTATTCAAGGTGTGCATGGAGTAATCGACTATGGTTAATTCTGGCTTTGTTTCTATCTTCTGCCTATGAACTTAATCATTACTTCATACTATACATGTGCTTGGAGGATAGTCTTGTTTTTTTTTTTTGGACAGTTTGGTACTCCTGAGCTTAGTTTATGTCTTGAAATGGAAAATGCGGAATTTTAACATTTGTGGAAGCTTCTTACTTATTGTGATTCACGATTCCAGAAAAATGGTGAAACCAAAATCCAAGAAGGCTAACTATGTCCGCCAACACGCACCTGCTTTCTGCCACATCTGGTTTATCTGCAAGGGGCATCTAATCTATACAAGGTATAATCTGTCAACCCCATTATTAAGATTGGCCAAGTTACTTTTCGCTTCTGTATACATGTCATGTAGTTCATGCATCCTTGGACTATGTTGCTTTACATAAAGACAGGATTTTAGTACTGAACTTAAGGGCCATGTACAGGTCAGACTCAAGGGCCATGTATAGCCATGATTGTGGGAATTTTTTTTTTAGTTTAAAATTGAGGGTTCCAAGTTTTTAGTTAATTATATTTTAATTATTTGGATTTTCATAACTTGCAGTGACCAACAATTTCTCCTAGAAACACAATACAAGTACAAAGTAGTACAGAGTATATTTCAATGATTAGCAAAAATCTAAGGTTATAAATCATGCTAAAGGATGGATGATTTTGGCACTTAACACAGTCAAAACTCGTGCTATGATACATTATGCTTCTGCAAGAATTTAAAAGGAAAATACAAAACTGAAAGACAATAAAGGTTGTTTTGTAGTATCAAACAGGATCTGTGGTCATGTGCCATATATTCTACAACAGTCTTAACCCCTGCACAACTCTACAAGCAATCTGGGTCTTTGGGTCATTATTTGGATTGTGAGATGAACTGAGATCATATGATCATATATCATTTTTTTTTTACTTACAATTAAGTTCAGATATCATCGTTTGGAAGACCTTACATAACAAGTCATTTCATGCAGGGAGGGTATAAAAAAGTCGTGTTTAAATGATGAAGATTTAAAAAGGCACCAGGCAGATTCTAAGTCAAGATGGAGTCAGTTTACTGGTAAACTTTCAAATTCCTTCAGCATGGTGGAGTCTGAAGGGAGTTTTGATCAATCATCAACATTTAGTCTTTCTCAGCTATCTGTCTTCTCCCGACCTTCTGAAGCTGCCACTGATTCTACTTCCTATCATTCGGCAACAGAAGATAGAGAGCTCTCATTTCGGTCTTTTGTTCTTTCTCCTGTACCTGAGGGGAATCAGCATGGTTCATATTCTCCAAAGGTGTTGGTAAGTACAGTGTTTGTGGAAGTTAGAGCAACGACATTAAGTATGGTTATCAGTCTCTCTGAAAGTTGCTGAATTTGGGTATCAAACTATAGCAGGAAGAGGACATGGAAGATGCTCTTTATGATCAACTTGATCAAGCCATAGCAGAAGCTGAAACCGCTAAGGAGGAGGCTTATATTGAATCAATCAGGCGTTGTAGAGCAGAGAAAGATGCAATTGAAGCAAGAGACAAGGTAAAAGTTCTGAAACATGCAATCTTTACGCCCTTAGTGTCTGTTTGGACCATT